AAAAAAAAACCTGGTACAAAGGTATCTCCTACTGCCAAGGTGCCTCTTCTGACCCCAATATGCCCCTGTGATAAGGTGGTACACGAGTCAACCTGCCCCAGAAAAGCTGAAAGAGAGAGAGATTTTGGTGGGGTCGGATTGGAGATGAGGTTGGAATAAAGTCAGTTCATTACTTCACTTGACACCTGAACAGTGTCTTTTCTCCAAAACTTCTACCTCCTTCCAGGTTGATAAATCTGGTTTCTTCCTCCCTGGGTAGGCCAGACACAGGGCTGAGCTGGGTGACAGGCAAGGGGGCACAGGCCAGCAGAGATCACAGGCCCTTGCTCTCCTCGGGGAGATGTCCTGACCAGGAGCAGGGCAGCGGCTGCCCATGGCTAGACTCTGCCCACAAAGGAATTAGTGGTAGATGGATTCTCTGCAGAGCTTGGGGATACAAATGGGTAGTCGCCCCTGGTTACAAACCTAACACCTGGTGTTCCTGGTCTACCCACCCCGGCAATGATGGTACAGAGGAAAAATGCAAGGTCTGTGTGCCTTGGGACTCTCCTCGTTGCCTGGATTCTGAGTTGACCTGGTCTGTCACATGGCTGCTTTGTCAGAACTCATCTGGTACGTGGGCTTCACTGATGCTGGGCTAGTCTGACCTCGTTCAGGTCAGGGCTGGGTGTTATCACAGGGAGGGGCAGATGCCTGCAGAACCCTGGCTGAGACACCGGTGAAGGTCTCAGGAGTGACGGGGAAAGTCAGCAGTCAACTAAGAACCCTGGGGTCTCTGTGTGATCCTGGACAGGCTGCTTAGCCCTCCTTGGCCTCAGTGCCCCCAACTGCAAAAGCCTGGGAAAGTGAAGATCTCTTCCAGTTCAAAACTGTGATGAGGCCCTCCTGGCAGGGTCTAGGAGGGTTAAGAAGGCCTGAGGCATGTGGCCATCTCAGGGAGGCCCAAAGAAGACTGGAGGGAGCTCTCAAAACCTTCCCATTCAAAAACAGGAACTGCCTTTTGGCTGATGGCGGTCACACCCCTTGGTTTGGGATGAAAGGCAGTCCTGACTGCCTCTTCCTGACCAGGCTGCCCTCTTCAACCAAGGGGCTTCTCTCAGCACTTATGAAGGTGCAATGAGTCAATGGAGGAGACAGTACTTTGTAAACCATAAAATGCAATACAAGCAAAGATCTAAAACAAAGCCGACTTTGACTTCTCTCCTGCCATCCTTTCTCTCCAACTCCAGAAAACCTGAGTGCTGCAGACCACTGTTTGCAAACTCAAATGACCTTAGGAGCTCAGCAAGTCATATAAATGAACGGGAAATGCCAGATGGAAAGGACTGTTTGGACAGAGACATGGGTCTAAGAAATACTTTCCTTTCTTCTTCGCTGTACTTTAAGATAAACACCAAAAACACTAAAAGCAAGCCATGATGAATGGCACGTGGTGCTTGGTCAGGAGCCCATGAGAGTGGTGGGGATGGGTGGCCGGGCCACGGTGAATTGTGAGTTCTGGCTCAGCTTCCAACAACTGTGGTTTTGTGGGAGCCTAGGTGGAGCTGCCAAATCTTTGGATTTTTCAAAAGACGCCAGAAAACCTGTATTTGGGTGCAAAATATCCTTTTCAATCTTCACCACTAACTCATATCGCTTAAAAACACTGCCTGGGCTCAGATCAATAAATATGACAACTGCAGGCCAGATCCAGTAGAGTCACAGGATTTTAACTTGGGCAGTAAAAAGACAGTGGAGGTGGTGAGTGCCTGTAGTCCCAGCTACTTGGGAGGCTGAGGCAGGAGAATCGCTTGAACTCTGGAGGCGGAGGTTTCAGTGAGCTGAGACTGCGCTACTGCACTCCAGCCTGGGCAACAAGAGCAAAACCCCATCACACACACACACACACACACACATACACACACACACACACACACACAAAGACAATGGGAGCCAGGCATGGTGGTGGCTCACGCCTGTAATCCCAGCAGTTTGGGAGCCCGAGATGGCAGGATTGCTTCAGCCAAGGAGTTTGAGACCAGCCTGGACAACAGTGAGAACCTCATCTCTATGTAAAATTTAAAACTTAGCTGGAGGTAGTGTTGCCCGCCTGTAGTCTCAGATATTTGGAAGGCTAAGGGGAGAGGATTCGTTGAGCACAGCAGGTTGACGCTACAGTTAGCCCTGTTCACACCACTGCACTCCAGCCTGGGTGACAGGCCAGGAAGCTGTCTCAAAAATAAATAAATAAATAAATACATAAATAAATAAATAAATAAATAAATAAGACAATGAGTATTGTGTTCTGGGAGGGTCACAAGAATAAAAAATAATTTAAAATTTTTTTAAAAAAACAATGGGTAAAACAAGGTTCTCCTCTACCTCAGTGCTTTTAGCATCTCTGGGCTGAGAAACACCTTTTGGTTCCCCTTATGTAGGTCTGGGGGTTCTCACCTCAGCCCTGCCTCAGTAAAGGGGGCCTTCGAGACCCCTGGGCAGTTGAGAGCAAGGTGCTGGCAGAGGAGGCTGCTGAGGGTCCAAGATCAGACTGTCCGCACCCCAGGGCCAGGTCTTGTAGATTCTGGGACCTCCCTGCAGGCCGCCGCAGAGGTTCGGGCCCCTGAGCCCATCTCAGGCCTCTGTTATGTCTAGATAGTCACCTTTAAGGCCGTCACCCACACTCCTGGAATATCTCTGGGTACAGCTGGAAGCCCACGGGCGGTTCCAGATCTCCAGGGCCAGGGGTCAGGGTCATAGGCAGACCCCCAGTGACCCGGCCCCTGTGGCCCCTGGCCCCAGGCCTATGAACCCACTGGTGCTTGGCCACTGCTGATTTCTGGCCGAAGCGGCGGCCACACTGCGGGCAGGGGTAGGGCTTCTCGCCGCTGTGGGTGCGCCTGTGGGCTGCCATCTCTGAGCTCTGGCGGAAGCAGCGCCCGCAGTCCGGGCACTGGTAGGGCTTCTCGCCGGTGTGGGTGCGCACGTGGCGCCGTAGGTCCGAGGGGTAGGCGAAGGCGCGGCCACAGTCCGGGCAGGGGAAGGGGGTCTCGCCGCTGTGCACACGCCGGTGCTGGTAGAGGGCAGAGCTCTGGCTGAAGCGGCGGCCACAGTCGGCGCAGCCATAGGGCTTCTCACCGGTGTGGACGCGCAGGTGCGAAGTCAGTGCTGAGCGCTGCGTGAAGGCCCGGCCACACTCGGGACAGCGGTGAGGCCGCTCCCCGCGATGGATGGCCCGGTGTTTGCTCAGGGAGGAAGCGTGGCCGAAACCCTTGCCGCAGTCAGTGCAGTGGAAGGGTTTCTCGCCAGTGTGGCTGTAGACGTGCTCCACCAGTGTGGAGCGCCAGGCGAAGCTCTTCCCGCACACGTAGCAGCCGTGACGCTGGTCCGCTCGGGGGACAGGGGGGTGGGCACAGAGCGAGGGGCGTCCTCGGTGCGGTGCCTTGGACGGCTGCTCCCAACCATAAGGGGGCCCGGCCAAGGGGGCTTGGGGAGCCTTCAGTCCAGGAGACCCGGTGGCCACAGGGACAGGCTTCTCCAGGGCTCCCATCCCTTCCCTTTGTCTTTCCTCTTCCTTGTTTCTGGAATCTGCTGGGAGATAAAGACGGGACAGTTCAGGCTCGGCTCATCCTGGTCCTTGAATCCCACAGCCCGCGTGGGCAGGGACAGGCCTGCTGGACCCCCGGCTGCCCCTGGGAGATGGAGGAGTGACACCTGTTCCTCGGCTGCTGAGCCAGACAGAACCGGGAGGGAGGGAAGGAACAGTCCACTCGGCCTCGGGGCTGGGGAAATGTCACTGCGGGGGAAGGGCAGAGATGACATGAACATCTAGGCCTGATCCAGAAGGAGGAGCGGACACCTGAGGATGTTCCAGGCATGAGGAACAGCACCAAGAAAGGCAGAACCAGGTGGGCATGGCCAATTTCAGTGGGGCTGGACACTCCGCAAAGGCTGAGGGCAAGAAATGAAGGAAAAAAAGGGGGGCGGGCGGGGAGAGAGGAACCAGCCTGCAGGTGAACGGCACGGGTGGGTCCTGAGGTGGAGGTAGAGTCAACAGAGCTTAAGAGACTGGGCGTGGGGGCTCAAGGCGGTAATCCCAGCGCTTTCGGAGGCAGAGAAGGAGCATCAGTCTAGGATTTCAGGACCAGCCTGGGCAACACACCAAGACCCAGGACCCCGTCTCTAAAATATATTACATAACAATTTTAAAAAATTAGGCCAGGCGCAGTGGGTCACTTTGGGAGTCCAAGGCAGGCGGACCACTTGACCCCAGGAGTTCTAGACCAGCCTGGATGACATAGTGAAACCCTGTCTCTACTAAAAATACAAAAAATTGGCCGGGCGCCATGGCTCATGCCTGTAATCCCAGCACTTTAGGAGGCCGAGGCGGACGGATCACAAGGTCAGGAGATCGAGACCAGCCTGGGTGACATAGTGAAACCCCGTCTCTACTAAAAATACAAAAACAAAATTAGCCGGGCGTGGTGGCGGGTGCCTATAGTCCCAGCTACTCGGGAGGCTGAGGCTGGAGAATGGCGTGAACCCAGGAGGCGGAGCTTGCAGTGAGCCGATATCGCGCCACAGCACTCCAGCCTGGGCGACAGAGCAAGACTCCGTCTCAAAATAAATAAAAAAATAAATAAAATAAAAATTAAAAATTACCGAGGCGTGGTGGTGGGCACCTGTAATCCCAGCTACTTGGGAGGCTGAGGCAGAATAATTACTTGAAACTGGGAGGGGAAGGTTGCAGTGAGCTCAGATGGCGCCACTGCACTCCAGCCTGGGCAATGGAGCAAAACTTTGTCTTTAAAAAAAAAAAAAAACATTACCCAGGCTTCGTGGTGACCACCCGTACAGTCTTAGCTGCTCTGGAGGCCCAGGCGGGAGGACTGCTTGAGCCTGGGAGTTCCAGGCTACAGTGAGCTATGAGGCTGCCACTGCACTCAGCCTAGGCAACAGAGCGAGACCCTGTGTCTAAAACAAAAACACCAAAAAAAGCCCCAAGAGTGTAGTGACCACGCAGAGGTGAGGACTCAGGGGCGGGTTATGGCAGGGCCAGAACCCCATCACTACTCCTTTCTAGACTGCATCCGGGAGCCAGGCAGGGGCTCAGCCTCCTGGTCGCAGTTGAGAAGGCAGTTGAGAGAGGAAACTGCTAAGCAGGTAGCTGGAGGTGGCAGAGGATACCGGGATGGGACAGGAACAGAGAAGCAGCACCCTATACTCCACCTGGGTCCGTTTCTGTCGGACATTTCGTCTCCGGATCCCGGGCAGCGGGGCCCCACAGTTCGGCCTCCTCCTCCACCCAGGAGATGAGAGCTGGCTTGTTGCCTCCGATTCCTAGGGGAGAAGAACGCAAACCCCACACTGAGGGGAAGCCGCCTGCCCGGCCCCGGGGTCCCCAACTCCACGCGCAGCTCCCAGAAGCGCGGCAGGGCCTGTGGGGGCGCAGGGCCCAGGTGAGCAGGTGGGGCTCTCACCGAGCGCGCTCAGGTGGCCGTAGGTCTCCCGCATCACGTCCCGGTACAGGGCCCTCTGCGCGGGTCGCAAGCAGCCCCACTCCTCCCGGCAGAAGTACACGGCCACGTCCGCGAAGCTCACAATCCCTGGCTCCCTCCACTCGGGTCCGGCCCCATTTGAGTCCCGGGGAGGGAGTGGGGCCAGAGGCGGCACCATGGTGACTGTCAACCCCGACTACGGATCGGCTGCCTCCCCTTGGCCTGGCCTGGGCCTTCGGAACCTCCTGCGTCCGAGAAAGCCTACGCGGCCAGGCCCAAGGGAAGGAGGAAGGTCTCTAGGGCCCCCCGAGGGCGCACTAGAGAGCATGGAAACTAACGGTGCCGATGGCAGCGGGTGTATAATCAGAAATGGAATATGCCCTCATAAAAAATGGCGGCGGTGCGGGTACTCGACCTTTGCCCCTACGCAATCGTGCCCAAGACAACGCCCCCGGTATGTACAGGCCGCGTTCTCTCCGTACCCTTATCCAAAATGGCCGCGGTGACTACAGGGGCCGGCCTTGAAAACTAGTCGCGTTTGTTTAGTCCCCGGCCCAGCGAGGCTGTGCAGCAGAGAGCTCCGCCCCGGTCTGCAAGAACAAGAAAGCGCCTCCTGGGAGGGAGCTGGCCTCTCGGCCTTACTGAACTCAGGCATTAGTTTTCGTCTCTAGACCGTTTTATAATTGGTCTCCAGCTCATTACTCTCTCGTTTTGTCCTTGTTATCTCAGAAACAGGGCGACAGCAGTCTCTTCCTAATGTTGAGTGTAAAAACCAATGGAGTGGGCGTGGCGCAGTGGCTCACGCTTGTAATCAGCAGTTTGGGAGGCCGAGGCCGGAGGAACTGAGGTCAGGACTTCGAGACCAGCCTCACCAACATGGTGAAACCCCGTCTCCACTAAATAATCCAAGTAACTGGGGAGGCTGAGGCAGGAGAATCGCTTGAACGCAGAAGGCGGAGTTTGCAGTGGGCCAAGATTG